TGTTAATGTGTGTGTGTTAATTGTGTGTGTGTGTGTGTTAATGTGTGTGTGTGTGTGTGTTAATGTGTGTGTGTGTGTGTGTGTGTGTGTGTGTTAAGTGTGTGTGTGTGTGTGTGTGTGTTAATGTGTGTGTGTTAATGTGTGTGTGTGTGTGTGTGTGTGTCTGTGTTAATGTGTGTGTGTTAATGTGTGTGTGTGTGTGTGTGCAGGATGTTTGTCTCTCACTTCCTGTCCATCAGGAATGTGAAGGAACAATGAAGGGAAATCCCCCCCTCCCTTTCACTCCCCTGATGACATCATTGTGAAGCTCTAACATCATTGACTGATTGGTGGATCTTCTCTCCCAACACACACACACACACACACACACTCACACACACACACACACACACACACACACACACATTAACACAGACACACACACACACACACACACACACACAACACAGACACAGACACACACACACACACACACACACACACACACACATTAACACACACACACACACACATTAACACACACACACACACACACACACACACACACATTAACACAGACACACACACACACACACACACACACACACATTAACACAGACACACACACACACACACACACACATTAACACACACACACACACACACACACACACATTAACACACACACACATTAACACACACACACATTAACACACACACACACACACACATTAACACAGACACACACACACACACACACACATTAACACACACACACACACACACACACACATTAACACACACACACATTAACACACACACATTAACACACACACACACACACACACACACACACACACACACACACACACACACACACACACACACACACACACACACACACACACACACACACACACACACACACACACACACACACACACACACACACACACACACACATTAACACAGACACACACACACACACACACACACACACACACACACACACACACACACATTAACACACACACACACACACACACACACACACACACACACACACTTTAACACAGTCTGACTGACAGGATATTAAATTACCCACAAACCTCTCTGTTGCAGTTATTAGATTAAGTGAGACAATAGAAGCTGCTGGTCTCAGTCACATGACCTCATCATACAGTGAACTTAAAGGGGAACTTCAGCAGATTTTGACCCGAGTCTCGATCACTAGAGGTCCCCGAGTACTGTCGGTTCTAGCGAACTGGAGATGCTGCAGCTAATGGCCAGAGCTCCCAGTTAGTTATAATACACTGTTTGGGGTCAAATCCTAAAGAGTGCTTTAGCTCCTCTTAACAGACACACAATGCATTAAAATGTGTGTGCAACATGATCAGGGCCCTTACGTGACAACAACATTCCTTTTCAACTCATACGTTGTGCAGAAACCGTACAAACAGAACTGTCACCTACCTGTTTTTACACCGCTCGCTTCACCGAAAGCCCAGAATAATCGATCACAGAGATAATGCCTTCACAACGAAAAACTGTTTATTTCCCCCTCAAAAATGTCCATGTCTTCACACACTACTCTCCGATTGCACACTTCCTGCTACAATCTCTTCTTCTTCTGCGTTTCCCTGCAACAAGTGAAATTTCTTCTTCTGTGCTTAATCCCACGGGACTTCAGCGCGGGACTGCTCTCGCAGTGTATTATAACTAACTGGGAGCTCTGGCCATTAGCTGCAGCATCTCCAGTTTGCTAGAACCAATGCTGGTCGTTGTTTTTCCTATCGACAGTACTCGGGGACCTATAGTGATTGAGACTCGGGTCAAAATCTGCCCAAGTTCCCCGTTAAGGCGGTAGTTTAAGGCGGTATTGGAAGGCGGCAGCGGCGGCGATGGCGGGTCTTACCTGCGAGCGCTTTAATGCGGGAGCGTTCGAAGAGGCGGGCCGAGCTGTTCTCGTTGTCCCACTCATCGTCCCAGCGGTTGTTGACCGTGTCGTTGCTGCTGTACTGCTGCTGCAGCTCCATGTGGTCGTACTCGGCGGCCACCGTCGTCATCATGACCTTTCACCTCTGACAACACGCCTCGATGTCAGCGCAGACACGTCCACATCGGCGGCTTCAGGACGAGTCCTGAGGGACGACAGGGACACAGGAAGTCAACGACAGGAACACAGGAAGTCAACGACAGGAACACAGGAAGTCAACGACAGGAACACAGGAAGTCAACGACAGGAACACAGGAAGTCAACGACAGGGACACAGGAAGTCAACGACAGGAACACAGGAAGTCAACGACAGGAACACAGGAAGTCAACGACAGGAACACAGGAAGTCAACTACAGGAACACAGGAAGTCAACTACAGGAACACAGGAAGTCAACGACAGGAACACAGGAAGTCAACGACAGGAACACAGGAAGTCAACTACAGGAACACAGGAAGTCAACTACAGGAACACAGGAAGTCAACGACAGGAACACAGGAAGTCAACGACAGGAACACAGGAAGTCAACTACAGGAACACAGGAAGTCAACTACAGGGACACAGGAAGCCAACGACAGGAACACAGGAAGTCAACGACAGGAACACAGGAAGTCAACTACAGGAACACAGGAAGTCAACTACAGGAACACAGGAAGTCAACTACAGGAACACAGGAAGTCAACTACAGGAACACAGGAAGTCAACGACAGGGACACAGGAAGTCAACTACAGGAACACAGGAAGTCAACGACAATTCTCGTTTTCTAAAAGACAATAAAGAGATGTGTTCAGTCTCCACAACCAGAGCAGTTTCTTGCTATATGCGGACTATGCAGCTGCATAGGGCCCCTGGTGGCTGCGGGGCCCTATGCAGCTGCATAGGGCCCCGCAGCCACCAGGGGCCCCAAACTGCAAGTTCAGCCTCATTTATTCTATTTTGGAGAATTAAAAGTGTCTTTATTTGCATGTATTGCATCCATTCATTATACATTTATTTGCAAAGCATGTAAGTGTTCATGGGGTAATTAGGTCTAAACCTTTGGGCTGGGCTGTCCCGAGGTAAGTGACGTCTGCCGACAGGTCTGATGATTGACAGCCGCCCACCTTCCTCTGAAGTGACGAGAATAAACGTAGACGCTGATTACAACGTCATCGCAACGTACGCAAAAAGAAGAAAACCGATGAAGAAAAACGATCACAGGATAAAGGTAAGGCATTTGATGTGGGGGGGGGGGACACATAATGCCAACTTCTGAACAAGTTACTTTGCTACTTTTGTCGTGCTGGCTATAAATAGATAAATGTGAGCTACCTCATTGTTTGTTTGTATGTAAATAAAGTCAGCTTTATCCAGAGTTTGATTTACAAAAAGGCCCAAATAAATGTGTCTCAAGCATAGACCTGTGCTACTATTGTATAAATAAAACCAAATATTATCAGACTGATTATTGTTACTTGTAGTAGTAAGATAAGATAGATAAGATAAGATAAGATAGGTAAGATAGATAGATAGATAAGATAGTAGTAGTAGTAGTATAGCAGTGGATTATTCATATAACACTATGAATTTTAAATGATCACTGTGCTATAAAATATTTTCCAATTCTTTTCTCTATTGTATTTTTATTTACTGTGGTTTGGTTACTGGACAAATCTGCTGACTTAGTTGAATTCCCCTTTCCAAATTTATTAGAATATATATTGTGTCAATGAAGTTTACTAATTTGAACAAACCTGTTCATTTAAAAGTGTCCTGTACTGCATAGGACTGCTAGTTGTCCACTTTGTAATGCACTGCAAGATATATGCAAACATATTCCCTTTATATCATTTGGTGCTCATCACTCATTTACCTTCATTTTTATTAATGAACTAGTATAATGTGGAGATAAACACAGAAACAACTGGTAGATGCTTAAATAGGGACGCTGTGTATTGTAATGTTTAATATACAAACAGATTCAGAATGTTTTGCATAGTGCAACACAGCTGCAGTTATATGATATGAATATTTGCTTCTGATTGCTTGGTAACCTAAGGAGCTTTGTCTTTGTAGGAGCAATTTTGAAATACTTCGGAGGTCCAGTTCAAGGAGAGCCAGGAGGACCTTCATCAGCTTCTGACCAGCAGCAGCAGGACCATCAGCAACCGAGCATTAATCATAAGATTGGCAAGCAGCTGTCCTATGATGACATAATTGATGACTTTGCTTCTAAAAGGCAAGGAAGCAGAAGTTTTGAGGAGGAGAGCGTAAAACTGTGATCATACAGATCCTGATCACAAAGTAGTGATGTTGTACAGTTATATATG